AACGCGAATTCGAGTTTCGCGTTGCGATTCTCTCGTTGCGATTTTCATTTCGCATTACGATAGTACTTTTTGCCTTCAACATAATGCAGATTGAAATCAACAAAATCAACCATTACATTTCAATCAATTAAACAAGCACAAATAAGAATTATGTTAACATCAATTAAACAAATCAACTTTTACAAATCACCTTTTACAAATCAATTAAACAATAAAAAAATAAGCAATAATTATTAGAGAAAATAACACTTCTACTATTGAATCAACTTTTGCAGCCATACATCATTTTCACGCAGCTCACTTCTGAGATTAACCTGCATAAACCAAACATTTGCTCAAACAACAATTTCTACACATCTAAAACCTACAAACAGCAAATTATTGAATTCTAGGTACTTAACCAAACATTTTCAAACCACAAGCCTATAAACATACCAATTGTTTATGGACATTTTTATAACGCGGATGCAGGTAGGCAGCGTCTCGTATATATCGATCTAGCCATATAATGTCGAAACCACAAGCCTACTGCAGCTCTATCTATATCGGTGGGAGGTAGATACTTTATACTTCCTGTGATCAAACGGTCCAACGCCAAGCATACGAGAGGACCACAATCCCCTCTGGGTCCTTTCGATTGTTGTGGTGCGGTCTCGTCTCTGCTAACTGTAATATTGAGCTTCTTTGGCTTCTTGTTTCCAGAACGAGTCCAATAATTTATCGCATCCAAGTATTTAGCCAAATAAGAGCTCCATCCCTTAATAATATCTCTTAAATCAGCCAATGATATGTAATTTATCATGCTGTCATATACTATTGCCTTAAGGGATGGGATCTGAAGCTCGACGAGAAGCCAATGGTTACGTTCCAAAACAGGGATAAACACCTGCAATCATAAGTGATAATTCATTCATTTGTGCACTTATTTATGAATACCTTTAAACTCAATCTAAAATAAACACTAACCTTATCGACCTCCCACCATGCAGGATAAAGTTTAGCTTGTCCATTGCCCAACGCAAATGATTCATCTCGTTGATTCTTCAAGTGAACGGCGTTAAAAGACGTCGGCATAATTGTATACCGTGTATTTCTTTTATTTTCCTTAAGTTTCCTAATTATTAGAAGACGTGACACCCACACATCGATATGTTGTTTTACAAAAAAAGACATATATTAGTAACTTACATAAATTTACAAAAAAAATAATCAAATGAAAATATAAGAAAAATATAAGACTTACCCCTCCATCGAAATAGCCATTGTCTTCGACCCCTAATAATACGCCCCACCAAGACCGATCAAGCAACAAATAGATATCATCATTGAGCTTGCATATGTCAGTGAAACACCCCTGGCTTCGCTCATGTAGATAAAAATCAACTGCGGTCTTAGCCCAAAGGGTGTTATCCAGAATTGTGTCCGGTAGTTGTTTCCTCTCCTCTTCAGATACCGGTATGGTACTGGCCGGTAACTCATACGAGAGCCAACTTGAATCCATCATGTCCGGTACGTCAGAGGGTTTCTCAAGAATCCTACATATGACGCCATGTGAATCGGGCTCTTGAATGGTGGGAGGGACCTCTTCAACGATGACAGTGGCCTCTTGAACGGTGGGAGGGGACTCTCGAGGAATGATAGGGGCCTCTGCAACGATAGGAGTGGACTCTTGAGGGATGATAGATGAGTCGGGCTTCTTCTTGCAGTGTCTTCGCACTATTGGGGTATACAGAGACTTAATAGCACGTGCACGCCGTCTGATGCGTGAACTCTGTCGTGCAAGAAAAACCCGACGTAAAGCATCCACCTTATCGGTCCGCTAAATAAAAATACAAATATCAGTAAATAAACAGACATGATATTTAAACAGTGAAAACAAAGATAAATATATTTCAAACTTTCAACCAAAAGACAAAACAAAGACAAATACTAACTTCACAGTGTTAAAGTAAAAAGTTTAGCAGTTTTGGCAGCAACCGAATAAATTTACTAAGCAATCTAAGTGAAATGGTTAATTTAAGTGAAATTACGAGTAAATTTATCATCAAGTTAAATATGGAAAATCTTAAACTTACCTCGTTGCGTAGAGTATGAACCTCATTCTGTAACGATACTACCATCTCACGTAGAGCGGCAACCTCACCACGTAAAGTAGACACCTCCACACGCCATGCACCATCGTTATCAAGTAAAGTACCGATCTCCTCACGCAAGGCATTGACCTCATCACGTAACTCCCTTGACTCATCCCGTGGAGGTGGAGAATAGGGAGATAGAAGTCGTGGCATCTTTGCCGGTCGCCTATCATGAGGTGATGGTGGAGAAGAGGCTCGATGATGTGACGGGATAGGTGATGGCTCTCGTTGTAGAGGTGTATAGTCGGGTCGATCAGGTGATGGCTCTAGGTGAGGTGATGGCTCTCGAAGTGGAGGAAGTGGAGGCTGCTCATCATTCGTTCCATCAAGAAAACGCTGACTAGCTTGCCACCAATCAGTGGCAAGCTCAGCCTCCGTGGGTGTCAGTCTCATTAATGGAATGTTGGCCTCCTAAAAATATAAAAACTCAAACAAAGTTAAACGTCTAATATTAATAACTTGTTTATATATGATAGTATTTGTGTTAACTTACATTATTTATTGTCGCATATGGTATTAAGTCTTCCCAATCCAACAGACGTTTCCTCTTCCAGGAAATAGCCCTGGGAATATCATTTGAAGTTTTTATTGCATATGTCTTCATGGCGGGAAAGGCCTCGAATATCCAAATCTACAAACAATATAATAACAAACATTAGTAATTGTTAAATAATTAATTATAATTTTGAAAACATTATATAGAAATTCTTACCTTAAAGGCCCAAACAAAGCCTGACAAAGTGTATTTCGACCCATCGCCCCGCAAACTTTTGCGATCATCAAAGGCAGACGACAACTTAGTCCAGGTAGCTTTCCATATATACGAACCCCACGAAAACAGATTCCATGCATTTAGGTCCTCTACCAATAATATTAGCTCCTGAGGAATAGGTTGTTTGGCCTCTCTGCCTAAAAAGCCGGCATACAAAAGTAGTAGAAGGCATACTCGGACAACATCGACGTCATTCATCCGAGTAAAACCATCTTTCTTATTAAATAATTTCTTCATGTCGTCGACGTGTAAGTTCGGCTTCTCTATTGACTCATCAGGAAAAACCCTGGATAACCATGATGGGCGGGTGATATGACGAGTGTACCGGCCTACATCATCGTGTCCGAATTGTAGACCAGTGATTAAACAGAACTCCTTCCGCCCAAAACAAGTATACGCCGGTGGAAAATGAAACCATATCTCTTCCTCACCACGTTGTATACTGTCGGGTAGATCGCTAGTCATGGTCTGAAGCCACAAATGGGTCAAACTAGCATCTCCACTCGGATGCTGTACTCTCAGCCATGGCCCGAAGCAGGTTTCTTCAAACAATTTTCTTTGTGCAGGTGAAAGCTTCGAAGCAATTGTAGTGGCTAGGCTAACTTTATTCCTTAATGTCAATGAAGCCGAAAAAAATTTCTACAAAAAAACAACAAACATACCAAGTTAGATATACCAAAAATTACACTGTCAAGATATACCAAAAACAAAACAATAAACATAAATAGTAGTTTATTCTTGAAACTAAAATTTGCAACACTGTTTTTATCTTTTGGTTGAAATGAAAATCGCAACGAGATAATAAGAATCGCAACGCGGAAATGACTATCGCAACGAGAGAATCGCAACGCGAAATGACTATCGCGACCAGACAATCGCAACGCGAAATGAAAATCGCAACCGCGAAATAAAAATCGCAACGCGAAATAAAATCGTAATGCGATTTTTGTTTCGCGTTGCGTTTTTTATTTCGCGTTGCAATTATCTCGCTGCGATAGTTATTTCCGCGTTGCGATTTTCATTCTCGAAACTATTCTTCTTCTGCATTACTTCAACCAAAAGACAAAGCAAAGACAAATACTAACTTCACAGGCTAAACAGTTTAGCAGTATTGGCAGCAATCGAATGAATTTAATAAGAAATCTAAGTGAAATGGTTAATCTATTATTGAAATTACCAGTAAACTTATCATCAATCTCAATATGAAAAACCTAAAATAATGTAAAAATTTCAAAATAAAAATAAAAAAACTAACCCTCGGAGGTTGATTTTCCATTTCTGAATGATTGGGAGGGATTTTTTGACTGTGAATGGTTGTGAGGGATTTCGCCGGCGATGGGGACGGAAATCTTCGGAGATGGAGACGGATTTCGCCGTAGAGAGTGAGAGATGGAGATGGGACTGAGTGTTGTGTTTTTGGGTTTGAGGTTATGAGTTGCAATTACTGTGGACGGTTCAGTTTCCGATTTATTAAGAAAAAATTCGTGTTTGGAATTTGAAAAAAAAATACGTGTTAATACGAATGGCGCTATGTAAATCGCGTTGCGAAAGTCAGAATCGCGTTGCGAAAGTCAGTATCTCGTTGCGATTTTGTATTATCGCATTGCGATAGTAAGTATCGCATTGCGATTTTCCCAATTCGCGTTGCGATTTACTTATTCGCATTGCGAATTGGGAAAATCGCAACGACATTGTATACCATCGCAATGCGATTTCCAACTATCGCAACGCGAAATGCAACGCGAATTTGCGATAATGGAGATCGCGTTGCGAATTAGCGATCGCATTGCGATTTTGTTGGTCATTTTGACAAATCCGGAAAAAATTGGTTAAAATCATATATTATATGGGATTTTTGGTCACTGAGGTTATTTTCTCTTTTAAAAATTTCAATAATTATTATCAAAAACAAATATCTGAGAACAATATGTTTAGCAATAAAATAATTTTTATAGTTTATTGGCGTCTTCGAGTCATCAATTCATCCAGTCTGGTCCACCCACACGAAAAGAGATTCAAGATTCGATATCTAAAGTTTCGATTTTGATCTGAATCGAAACAGGCTGATACATGAGTCCCTCCTATTATTCTCTGTGTTTCACATAAATAAGATCTCAACAAGTCTGTTCCTTGATCCATCTTTTTATTTGGATTTGGAGTCAGATGGCTTCTTCCGGGAATCCCAATCTGCAACCCCAAAGCGGCGGCGGAGGGTTCGGTTTGAATAAACTGTTCAAACCCAGTTCCGGTCCTATGCCGCAGCATCTTCAAAACATGAACGTAGTAGCAACTCCTCCAAGTCCCAACACTACCAACCTACTACATCACCTTCTTTCCCGGCCCAATCCTCTGCGCCGCCTCCGTCGCCGTACTTCACGCCTTCCTCCTCTTTCCCTCCACCTACTGGGACGTACCCTTTCCACCACCACTACCTTCCCTACCCTCCTCCCCCTCAGCACCAATACCCCTTGCATCCTAACCCAAATCCACCACAGCCTCATATTAATGGACCCATTCCTTTTCAACCCCAACCCTCAGCACCCGCCACTTCCACTTCAGGAAGCAACGTTTTAATGCCTTTCTCGGTACTCGATCCCAGTCACAAGCTCCTTCACTTCCCGCTTCTGCCCCACCTCTTACTATAGATATCAACCCATCTGCTCCTTCGTCTCCCTCACCTGCGCGACTGTTGAGTAGCAAGGTCCCCAAGGGCAGGCGTCTAAATGGAACCAATCTCGTTTATGATATTAATGTGAGGCTGCCAAGTGAAGTACAGCCCCAACTTGAGGTCACTCCTATTACCAAGTATGCTTCTGATCCCGACCTTGTTCTTGGTAGTCAGATTGCTGTTAATAGGAATTACATTTGCTATGGTCTCAAGTTTGGGAACATTCGTATCCTCAACATCAACACCGCCCTCCGATCCTTGCTTCGTGGTCACACTCAGGTATATCTACTTCGTAGATGCCTCCTTTTCTTCTATCAGGTTTCTATTTTCAACCATCTTATTATCGGCTTAATCCTGTCATTTAATTTGTGTCTACAAATATAGAGAGTAACTGATATGGCTTTTTTTTTTGCCGAGGATGTCCACCTTTTGGCTAGGTAGGCTTGGAATAAATTGACTTCATTTGTGACATCAAAAAGTGCGCATCTTTCATTTTCTGCAGTGCAAGTGTTGATGGCCAGTTTTTTGTATGGAAGATCAATGAAGGCCCTGATGATGAAGATAAGCCGCAAATTTTTGGCAAAGTTGTTATTGCCATTCAGATTGTGGGGCAAGAAGAACCGAAGCATCCACGAGTCTGTTGGCATCCTCACAAACAAGTAATGAAAAATCGGTTTGTATTTTATATTATCAAATAGTAACTGTTATCTGTTATGCCAAGTCTCTGTATTTCTTCTATGGTTTCGCTTTCCCTGTCCATTTGTTTTTATTCCTTGTTGTAAATGTTCAACAAATATTATTAAACAGGAGATCTTGATGGTTGCTATTGGAAATCGTATCCTGAAAATTGATACAATGAAATTCACAAAAATTGAAGGTTTTTCAGCTAAGTAACCTCTTAATTGCACTGTTGATAAGCTTATTGATGGAGTTCAGTTTGTTGGTAAACATGATGGTGAGATTACAGAATTGTTGATGTGTCAATGGTTGACCACCCGTTTAGCTTCAGCTTCTATGGATGGCACGATTTGTACCGAATCTTTTCCTCATTTCCTGCTTTCGTGGTTTATATTGTTTTTTTATAAGAAGTGGAGGCCTCGTTAAAAACCCCCCTTCATGATTAATGGAACGCCAAAAGGTGCTCCTTAATCAGCGGAAGGAGGAAAAGAGTGCCTCAAAATTCATTAATAACAGAAAGATACATAATGTTTAAAAACAACCAAGATCATCCCCTTACAATGAACAACCCAAATCTGAAAAATAAACAACCTAAACAAAACATTGAAACTAGCCAATACCAGCCTTAGCTAAACCATCAGCTTCAATATTTGTTGTCCTAGCTACCCATCGAATTACGCCCTCCAAAGCTCTTAACCTAACGTCTTTAACAATAGAAACATAAACATTAGGACATCTATCTATATTCTTAACCCACACAACTGTTAATTTACTATCACTTTCAATGATCAAACGTTTCTTAAAACGTTGTCGAAGAGAATCAAAGAAAGTTAAACCCTTCTTAATAGCCTTCAGCTCCAACAAAGTAGGAGGACCTGGGCCAGTAGCCTCTTGGAAAGAACCCAGCACCGAACCAACATCATCTCTTAAGATTCCACCTATTCCACTTTTCTTCCAATCACCACTAACAACTGCATCCACATTCTTGAAATAAACACATCCTTGAACTTAGCTAAGTACCAAGAAGCAAGCCTAAATCTTGCCGTGAAAAAATAAATCAGCTTGATCTAACAATCCCCTTCAAACACAATGGCGCTTCTAAATTTTCAAATTGTCCAAAGAACAACGCCCAATATAAAGGACCAAATAGATGAATAAGACTCCAAATCTTCCCAAGCTTACAAAAAATGTAACCCCCTAGACCCGGCCTATGCGTTTCGACTAAGTCTAGTGGATCACATACATGATTCTTAAAGACATTTTCTGAAACCGTTATCCAATCAATGTAAAACCACATTATTCATGACATGAAATTATAATAAATTATACTATTAAAACTCAACTCTTAAATATAAAACCAATCAGTAATAAATTAATTTAAAACATATCTTAAAAATCAAAACCACGATAAACTGAATAGTAATAGCAAAAGTATCATCATTATAAAATCCAATACTTTAAAATAGATCCATGTCACCAGAATAAAGTCAACTTGCAAGTTTAAAATATTACAATCAGATATACTTCAAGAGATATGTTGATCCTTCAAGTGCTCGAACTGAGGTATCTAACCAACAGTATCTGAAAGGGGAAAAACATTTTCGAAAGGTGAGCTAGGCTCAGTGTGTCCCAACATTACCATAAAATCACAGTAGGTACATTAAACAAATCATAGTCCAGTAAATCTCACAAATTCGTAAAAGAGTTTAACTTTTGAAAATTATAGTTTAAACCCTTTTCTGGTACACCATCAGTAGTTCCCAAAATTATTTTCCATATAGCTTACTTTATGCACATAGCAAAAAGAAAGCCGACTTAAGGATAGGCTATGATGCTTGTATCCTTAAGCCCAAGTCAATAAGTCCATATAGCTTACCCTAAGCACACAGCAAAGGAAAGCCGACCTAATGAAACATCCTGGGGCCCTCAAGAGTCACATTAGGCCCGTTTATTAGCTTGATCAGAGCTATACAATTGTAGTTCAATCCATCCCAAAATCAATATCCATATACCAGTCATCAAAGTTCATAAATCATCAACAATAAATCGGTGTACCAACAATAATAATCCATAGATTTCAATGTACCATATTTCAAAACATATAAAACCATTATGTAGTAAACAGAAACACACCTCGATAATGGGTTCAGATAGTAGATATACTGATTGTTGGTTTCACCACGCTCTGTTACAATTTTCGAACGGGTGAATACTGGTATACGTGGTTTAACTGATCTAGAAGAGCTGGGTCGAGCTGTCGAACGATCAGAAGAGTCTCTTGTACTTTCAAACAATAATAATTAATCAACCCCAAATTTTACTTAATTGTTCAAAGCTAAAATTCTTAAGTATATAAGCATTTTTCGGGTTTGACTATCATTTTAGGGTATTTCGAGTCTGAATTTGGCCAAACGGATTGCGGAATCAGAATCAGGACGTCGAAAAACATAAAGTATGACTTTTCGAAAATTCAAATTCTTGGTCAAAGTCAAAGTCAACCACTTTGACCGTCGATTTGGAGGCCTTCGGGTTCGAATTTGACGAAACGGACTTCGGAAACGGATTCGAGACGTCGAAAACTATCAGAATAGGTATACTCGGAAAAGATTTACGGTCGTTTAAGGGTCGGTCAAAGCCATTTTAAGTTTTGGTAAAAGGAAGTCAACGGTCAACGGTCAACGGTCGGGTCGGGTCAACGGTCAACGGTCGGGTCGGGTTAGTCGGGTCGGGTCAGACCGGTCAAACCGGTTCAGACCGGTCAAAACCGGTTGAAAACCGATTTTTCCAGCAGCTCACTCTCGATTTTGAGCGATTTTGAGATACTTACAACGATCGGTTCAAATTTTTGAACGGAGGAGAGCTCGAATTTCAACTCGACCGAATCTTTGACTGCTCCACCTTCTCACGCGCCGCCATCGACGGTGAACAAGGTTGACACCGGCGAACTCGCAACGACACAAGGAACACGATGGTGCAGGAGGTGTCGTAAACGGAGCAACGATCGGTGGTTAATTTAAGATTTTCCCGACGATAGAGCTAAATAAACGTCGAGACTTTGACTCGAAATTCACGTCGTTTGGCAGCGTTTCGCTATAATTGATTTACTGGGTTTTGTTCACGGGTCGAAGATGAACACGACGGTGGTTTCAATTTTTCGATTGGAGGTCGAACGGCGTCGGAATCGGGCTTGGAAGTAAGGGTACGGGAGGAGGAAAACTTAAGAAATTATCATTTGTGTTTTCTGGTTTTGTGTTTTCTGGTTTAAAACCAGAAAACAAGCTTATAACACCAATTCTGCTGACAGTTTTAGGGGAAATTAAGGGTTTGATCCCTAAATTTCCTTTACTTCGAAAATGGCATACAAGTTTTCATAAATTTTAATTTAGTCACTTAATTTCACCCATTTTCACAATTTACCTTCAATTTCAATTAATACCTTTTTTTTAAATATTCGGGTTGTTACAGAAAACTTTGAGCATTTCCATGTAAAACCGAAGTTCCATAAGAGTAGCCCGCTTGTATTCACAATCCAGATTTACCTTGTGTTTATTCAACCAATCCATCCCAAGAATTAGATCGAACTCCTCTAAAGGAAGTTCCATAAGATCAGCGAGAAAAATTTCTCCCTGAACCTCGAGAGGACAACGCCGAAATACTTTATTCACTAATACCGCTTGTCCTACTGGACTCGTAACTGTAACAGTATTTTCTGTGTTCTCGATCGGAATCTGAAGGTTTCGAGATACTGAGCTCGATACATAGGAGTGAGTGGAGCCATTGTCTAGTAATGCAAAGTATGGGATAGAGTAAATAGTAAATGTACCTGCAATAACTTCAGGCTCATCTCTGTCATCCCGACGTCTAGTGGCATAAACCAAAGCTGGCTGTCTAGCCTCAGAAATTGTTGGCCCTCTATTTTGCTGAGGTTGGGCTCTACTGTCAGTCCTGGACGCTGAACCACGAGCCTTTACTTGGCTACGATCTCTAATTGGAGTCTGTACTGTAGTCTGAGAACGCATAGGAGTCTGAGTAGCGGTCTGCTCAAACGAAGCTAGCTGAGGACAATCTCTCCGAAAATGACCACTAGATCCACACTGATAGCAAAGACCCATCTTCTTACGACACTCTCCTGTGTGTTGTTTACCACAAAACTCACAGAGGAACCCATGATAATACGACGAGGAACCGCCTCGACTGCCAATTAACGGTGAAGATGCTGCAGGCCTAAAACGTGTATTGATTCTCTAAGGGACTGCAGTACGAGTCCTTTTCCCGGACTGTGCTGATGACTCCATCGGGCCTGAAAATTTCTTAGATCGTTCCTATTCAACACGCTCTCTACCAGAAGCTAAAACCTCCACCTCTTCAGCATCTTTGCCTCTGCCCACCAGCACATCAAATATCTCATCCTGATGAGTTACAACTTGTCTACGTAGCTCGTATCTGAGTCCAAGGGTAAATTTAAGACATCGATCTCTCTCAGTAGGTACCATACTGAATCCATACTTCAGCAACTTCAAGAACTCGATCTCATACTTAGAAACAGTCATGTCTCCCTGAACCATGCCTTGAAACTGCTGACGTCTCTGAGCTAAGTAGCACTCTCCCAGAAAACGACTCCGAAAGCGATCCTTAAAGAAATTCCAGGTCAAACGATCGGTAGGAACACTACTGGTCACTGACTCCCACCAAGTGTAGGCATTGCCATCTAACATTGCCACAGTACCCTGATATCTCTTAGTTGAGTCTAAACCCAACTGATCCATGCGTCTCTCTGTATCCTGGAGACAATCCTCAGCTTCAATAGGAGTTCCACCAATCTGTCCCCCAAAAGGTCTAACTCCATTGGCAATCAAAGTCTGCGAAATAAGAACCTCTGATACAACACTAGTAGCTCTGACTGCTCCCTGTATCAACTGCAGAGATTGTCTACCAAAATTCTCATCCAAAGCAATTCCATGTAAAACTTTAGAGTAGCCCGCTTGTATTCACAATCCAGATTTACCTTGTGTTTATTCAACCAAATCATCCCAAGAATTAGATCGAACTCCTCTAAAGGAAGTTCCATAAGATCAGCGAGAAAAATTTCTCCCTGAACCTCGAGAGGACAACGCCGAAATACTTTATTCACTAGTACCGCTTGTCCTACTGGACTCGTAACTGTAACAGTATTTTCTGTGTTCTCGATCGGAATCTGAAGGTTTCGAGATACTGAGCTCGATACATAGGAGTGAGTGGGGCCATTTTCCAGTAATGCAAAGTATGGGATAGAATAAATAGTAAATGTACCTGCAATAACTTCAGGCTCATCTCTGTCATCCCGACGTCTAGTGGCATAAACCAAAGCTGGCTGTCTAGCCTCAGAAACTGTTGGCCCTCTATTTTGCTGAGGTTGGGCTCTACTGTCAGTCCTGGACGCTGAACCACGAGCCTTTACTTGGCTACGATCTCTAATTGGAGTCTGTACTGTAGTCTGAGAACGCACATGAGTCTGAGTAATTGTCTGCTCAAACGAAGCTAGCTGAGGACAATCTCTCCGAAAATGACCACTAGATCCACACTGATAGCAAAGACCCATCTTCTTACGACACTCTCCTGTGTGTTGTTTACCACAAAACTCACAGAGGAACCCATGATAATACGACGAGGAACCGCCTCGACTGCCAGTTAACGGTGAAGATGCTGCAGGCCTGAAACGTGTATTGCTTCTCTGAGGGACTGCAGTACGAGTCCTTTTCTCGGACTGTGCTGATGACTCCATCGGGCTTGAAAATTTCTTAGATCGTTCCTGTTCAACACACTCTCTACCAGAAGCTAAAACCTCCACCTCTTCAGCATCTTTGGCTCTGCCCACCAGCACATCAAATATAAGATCCTGATGGGTTACAACTTGTCTACGCAGCTCGTATCTGAAGTTGAGGGTGTTGTGGACGAAGATAAACTTCAAGTGTTGACTAACTGTCTTGTGGAGTGGTACAAGAACTCTATCAAAATTGGTATTCTTGCTAACCAAATACAAGCCAAAAGACTAGCTGGTTTCACGCTAATGAGAGCTGCTGGAAATGTAGTTCTAATGGTTTTTGAAGACTTTGATTCGTTGAGAAGCATGAAGGATGACAAGTTAGAGACTCTTGCAGAATGGTTTTCCAGAGTGGAAACTTGGTCAGAGAGTCTTGTAGTGGAGTGCCGGTTTGTGTGGTTAGTTTGCGAAGGTATTCCTTTTCACGCTTGGAATTTGGATACCTTCAAAAACATTGCATCTAAGTGGGGCAAGTTAATAGCAATTGACAACAGTTGTGAGTTCCCTTCGTCTTTTGATCGGGCTAAAATTCAAATACTCACAAATGCTAAAGGGAGAATTGATGAGTTGTTGGAGTTGAAGGTCGGGGATAATTTATTCAAAATCTTGGTGCATGAAGTTGATCATTCCTTCAAACCTAACTCTTGGGTCCCTGAAGATTGCGATATTTCTTTAGAACTTGTTCCTCCAATTGGATCGTGACTGTTCGGCAATTGTTTTCAGGGGCGTTTTTTAGTTTGTGGTTGTAATTGTTGGTTTTTATTTTGCTATGTTATCTTATATCTTGAGGTGTATTTTAGAAATAGGGTTATTGTCTTAGGGGTTTTTTGTTTGAAGATGTAATATTTTTAGGTGATATGGTTTGTAATGGTGTATATTCCCATATGAGGGGTCGGGTTACCACTTGGTCTTCTATTTAATAAAATATGAGGCACTCTTTTCTTCCTTCCAAAGTTCTTCGACATACTTCTGAGTATGTGGAAGAATACGAAGGGAGTTTTTAATGAGACCTCCAATTTCTATCAAAAAAATAATCTAGTTTCCAGATTGTATTTGCTACAAACCATCTTCTTCCAAACGAACTCCTTATCATTAGCGAACCTCCAAGACCATTTTCCTAATAGAGCTTTATTTATGAAATTGAGGTCCAACACACCCATACCACCATTATTTTTGGCTTTACACTATGTCGACCAGTTGACCCAATGAATCTTATTCAACTTTATACCTCCTCCCCCATAAAAACTTTACCATGATGGAATTGAGTTTTAAATTCACAGAGGAAGGAATCTTAAATAAAGACAAATAATAAATAAGTAGATAGTGAGCACAATACTGCCTTCAACAAGACCAATCTCCCTGTCAAAGAAAGGGTAGTTGCCTTCCAACCGGCCAGCTTCTTGTAAAATTTTTGAACAACCGGATCCCAAAGAACTATAGAATTTTTGTTAGCACCAAGTGGCAGCCCAAGATAATCAGAAGCGAATCTTCCAACTGAGCAATCGATAGCCCCCGCCCACTCCTTAACCTCATCTTCACTAGTGTTGATGGAAAATAATTTACTTTTATTGAGGTTCAATTGAAGACCAGACATTACTTCAAAAACTCATAAAACTCTCTTTACATTTAAAATTTGCGTCTTTTTGAGGCATTACATAAAATGATGAGATCATCTGCAAATTGTAGATGTGATAAATTAAAAGAACCCTCATCTATGCCTATAACCAAACCACAGAACAGACCCGAAGAAACCACTTTAAGAAGCAATAAGTTAAGAAGTTCCTCAATAAAATTAAACAGTAGTGGGGAAAGGGAGCAGTCCTATCTAAGACCTATTGCCATTGGAAATTCCTCAGTAGGAACCCCATTAACCAAAACTGACACCGAGGCGGTTGTAACACAATTTCTTATCCAACTGCACCATTTGGTTCCAAAACCCATTTTCTCCATCACTTTAGTTCTTAATATAGCGTCTTTTTTTTTGGTGGTGGTGGTGTTGGGGTGGGACAAGTGAAAATGAAAATTGAATAATGCAAATCAAATACCTGGTTGCCATATCTTGAAGCAGAAAACCTCTTTGAAGTTCACCGTAGAACTTGACATGTAAACATGATATGTTCTATTTCCATCTAACATGACGCTGATGCATGTAAAAGATCTTTTGCAGTCCAAAGTATTTTCTCATTATAACTATTTAGTATTTTAGTGTGGGAATACTGGGAATCAAATACCTGACAGCCATTGACCTTTTAATGCCTGTAAAACTAAAGATTTTGGTTTGTCTTGTGTCAGTTGTTCTATCAGGCTTGTATGCTTGGATTCAGAGTACAACGTTTTTTATTCATTCTTCAATCAGATATTGATATTTGTGGAAACTGTAAATTTCTGTGACAGATGAAAATTTGGGATGATCGTAAGCCCTTACCACTTGCAGTGTTGAGACCACACAATGGACATCCTGTTAGCTCAGCAATATTCTTGACTGCCCCACACCGCCCTGATCATATTGTTCTTATCACAGGAGTAAGCTTCCGTTTCTTTTTTTTTTTATAAATAGATAATTTCTATGACCATGTTAAACTTATGTGATTTTGAAAGAAAAATCACTTCTCCTTTTGTGCTACTAATGTGGCATAAATTCACTTTTCATTATGTTAAATGTCTAATTTGCTACTTTCCTTTTACTTACAAGGCCCATGTTAAGCTTATGTGATTTTGACTGAAAATCAGTTTTTCTTTTGTGCTACTAATGTGGCATAAATTCACTTTTCATTATGTTTAATGTCTAAGTTGCTACTTTCCTTTTATTTATAGTGCCCACTAAACCGTGAAGTGAAGATGTGGTCCTCTTCAAGTGAAGAAGGCTGGCTGTTGCCCAGTGATGATGAATCATGGCAGTGTACCCAGATACTGGAACTGAGGTGTTCTGCTGAGTCTGAGATTGACAATGCATTCTTTAACCAAGTTGTGGCACTGCCCGTGCAGGCCTGTTTCTGCTTGCAAATGCGAAGAAGCATGCTATATATGCTGTACACATAGACTATGGGCCTTATCCAGCAGCTACCTGCATGGATTACATAGCTGAATTCACTGTCACAATACCTATATTGAGTCTCACTGTAATAAGTGATAATTTGTCGGGTGGAGAATCTTTCCAAGTCTACTGCGTTCAAACACAGGCTATTCAGCAATATGCTTTGGAATTGTCTCAATGCCTGTCACCACCCTTGGAAAAGACAGACTTGGATAAAACAGGTTCCAATATTGCTCATGTTTTTGATGCCACGAACTCTGATGGTTCTGCTTCTCTGGAATCAGCTCATGGATATAAAGCAACTGACATGAGTCTAAATTCCTCAGCTCCATGTCATCTATAAACACAAGTAGCCCTGAAGGTGCCGCCCTGTCGAGCAGTTCACAAAAAACCAGCTTCTCCAGAGGTGACTTTCGTTTCCGAGAGTGCTGTGTTTGGTATGGAAAGTAAGCCAAGTGCTTTGCCGACTTGTAGTAGTGCTGAAAATATGCACACTGCATCACCTCCACTTCCATTAACTACAAGGTTATCACGAGAGTCTTCTGGTTTTAGAAGTCCATCAAGTGCTGGTCATGTTAACCATTCTGCACATGATCATTCTGTAGAACACAAAGTGGATATGGTCAAAGAGAATAAGACTGAAACCCCTACTCAGGTGATCACGTGCAGAAAGGTGAAGATATTGCTCAAAACGACATTTCAACTGTCCTGATCCTCATACAGTGTTCAAACATCCAACCCATCTGGTTACACCATCGGAGATTTTGTCTATTGTGTCTTCATCAACAGAGAATGCACATATTAGTCAGGTTACTAACGGGGATGAGACAACAGTTGAAGATGTGGTTAAGAATGATGCTGAAAGTATAGAGGTAGATGATGAAGTTCATGGTGAGACGGGACTTTGTCAAAGTAATGAAACTAAATGTCCACAAAGCTCTCATACTACTTTTGAAGATAACAAAGAAAAGGCATTCCACTCGCAGGCATCAGATCTTGGCATTCAGATGGCTAGAGATTTTTGTGCGGAGAGTTATGATGTTGAGGGAGATCAACAAGCTAATCACATGGGTGTTTCAGTTCGAGCAGATAGACTTACTAATGGTGGTGATGGGGGTGACCAGAATGTAAGACGCCCTCCAAAGGTTGGTGAAACACACTTCTATCACTGTTTCCCCATCTCCTTCTTCTGCTAAAGGGAAAAAGCAGAAGAAGAAAACTTCTCAATTATCTATCCTCTCTTCCCCTTCAGTGAGCCCATATGATTCCACAGATTCATCTAATGAACCAGGGTGCAATTCCAGGGCTCTGTCAGCTGATGCTATTTCCCCTCAATTGCTGGCCATGCAGGATGTGCTTGACCAGCTAGTTTTTTTTAAAAAAAATACTATAAACAGCTTTTTGAAAAAAAAGGTATTATTTCCTTTAGAAAGAGTATTAAAGAATCTCCTCGATACACTTGTGTTTGTATGTTAACGTTTGTGCTATAATCTTCTTAATATAATTATTTTGTTGCACCGAGCAGTCCCTTAGTATGCAGAAGGAAATGCAGAAGCAGATGAATGCAATTGTCTCCGCTCCAGTTAACAAAGAAGGGAAAAGACTGGAAACATCCCTGGGCAGGAGCATTGAGAAAGCCGTAAAGGAAAATACAGATGCTTTGTGGGCTTGTTTCCAAGATGAAAATGCAAGAAAAGAGAAGTTAGAAAGAGACCGCATGCAGAAGATAACAAATTTGATCTCCAGCTGTATTAATAAGGACTTGCCATTCGTGTTTGAGAAATCCTTAAAGAAGGAAATAACTGCAGTTGGTTCTGTTGTGGCTCGGGCTATTAGTCCCACTCTGGAGAAAAGTATATATTCTGCCATTACAGTCATTCCAGGTAAATAAAGAAAGGTCAAATTGTGGTGACATATCAGAGTGTTTTGTGTCCTATATGAGTGTTCATTTATTTGGACAGATGAATCAGTATAGCATTAACAGTTGCGTCGTGGCACAAGTCAATTTGATATTCAGAGAAAGAATTTTGTATTTAGTGTATTGTGTTCTCTTGAATTTGATGAAACTGGTGAATTAAAAAAAAATCCTAAACACGGCCTTCAATATGTTTTGTTATGTAATTATTGAGTTCAAAAAGCTTATAAATTTATGAAATAGTGTATTTGTGTTTTAGATTCGTAGGACCCTCAATAAACAATCTCACCAGCTTGCCAACTTGTCTGTTCCTTTTCATGATTTTATCTTTTAGATGTGATTTTGAATATTTTAAGTGATTAATAAATAACATTATTTTTATAAAAAGATATTATGTTTTTAAGAATAAGTATGAATCCAATTCAGAATAATATACATAATGATGCCTTCCTTAACTAAAATAGCTGCGAGGCGAATCATGCGTGGGCGGCCTGTTTTCAGCTGAACTTTAAATCACAATCCAAAAAAAGAAAACACAATTAACGTCTAAAACGTCAATGGTTTTGCAGATATTCCCTAATGTCAGCCACATTTTTGTTTTTCTCTTCATTTTATGTATTCAAGTGGCTGTGCCATGACCATTCAACCACTAACTACAAGCTTCATTTTGCCTCATCTTATCATATTTTACTTAATACAATAAAAAAAAAGCCGAGTTTAAAAGAACGAATAATAAAAGTTAAAAAAAGAAAAAAAAAGAAAAGAAAAAACCCTATAAAACGGGCTAATTCTCCACTTAAAGTTTGTGTGATTGAAGCTGCGGAATTAATAGCATCATGCAAATATAAAGCAGCAGGCCATCTTAAAAGAATTAAATGTAAAAGCAGCCTTCTTAAATTTCATCATCCACTAGTGAAGTTCATGAGAACAAGGAATAGTACCCAAAAACATAATATTTCACCTAATATTAAAGGCCATCATTCAACGGTTCAGTTCTGTGCATGTCAGTGTAAAAGCACCAGGCTATGATACTATATTCTTAGAAATCTCCCATTCAAACACAAATCCTAACATTGGGCACAAATATCTTCCTTCAGAACTTGTCTTGCTAATTTACAAGGATAATCAGGCAACCAGATGTTGAAAATGTTCGGTTAAGGCCACCTCTATCACCGTATAAAACTCATTATGCAACACCAATCAATCAATAAAATTATTAATCACTTAAAATATTCAAAATTACATCTAAAAGATAAACATCATGAAAAGAAACGGATAAGTTGGCAAGCTGGTGAGCTTGCTTATTGAAGGTCCCACGAATCTAAAACACAAATACATAACAAAACATATTCATACTATTTATTAAGTTTTGAGATTCATTTTAATATATCTATTTTTCATCGTATCTTTATTTTATTATTTTTATTTGAACTCATTAAGTGGTCTCAATCTTAGGGAAAAAATTAATATTCTTTTTAGAGGATTCAAATTCGAGCAATTTCATCTGCACAGATTATATATATATTTTAATAAATTTTAAATTTAATTCTAATCATATTTAGAAGGGGAGGAGAAGGAAAAACTCTAAGGAAAGAAAAAATACTCTCAATAAATTTAAAATTCATAACTTTAAAAAAATGTGAGGACACAAAGATGAATTTTTTTTAAGTTAAGTATCAGACCAAATTTACTTGCTAGAAAAATGTTAATCGCCTTATCTTACAGTACTATGAATTTTCAATTGATAGCTGCACCAAGATTTTTATTTTCTTCAACAAGTCTTATCCTATTGTCCGGTGTGGAAAAAAGAAATGGGAAAATCATTGTTCATTTCCTTTGTTTACAAAGTAGATTAGGAAGTAAATTAATTTATTTTTAAAATATGAATTAGGTCAATATAACCCATTTCTACTTGTATTTAAATTAAATTTAAGATTTAATTTCTATAATTAAAAAATTATAAATTAAAATCTTTTATTTCTATTCAAAATTTAAATCCAATCATTGACACAATCAATCTTTTTTCAAAAATACAACAATGGGTTTTGAAAACAAATTATTATAAAGACAATAAATATCTTTTATAATAAACAAATTATAATATAATATATTAATAATTTCAATAACTAGATTAAAATCTTAATTAAAAGAGAGATATTTAATTTATAACTTTCAATTATAAAATATTAAATCTCAAATTTTGTTAAATTAGAAACCGAAGACAAATTTGGAAATAAAATTAAACAGAAAATTGAAACTCGTTAATCCTTAATCTACACAAATTCAATGTTTTGGTATACCGTTTGATTAACAACTTTGCAGTGTACATTTGATTCGAACATTAAAAATCAAATATAGAAATGGAACTGTGATTGATTTGTTTTGGTAGATATTCTTCTTCTTTTTTCATATTGTAGTAACACCTTTTCTCAGGTGGGCCTAGAATCGAGTTTCGACTTAATTTCGATGTGATGGAACCGCCACCGATCATTTAAAATTAAGTTGATCGATACCATTTTACCCTATTTGCATTTTTACCAGAATTAAATCGGATTCGGGAGTCGATTACAGTCAGGGAAGGATTAGCACCCCCATACTGCCCTTTCGGTACTAATTTAATTTCTTGGTTGTCTTAATTGTGAAAATTAAAAGTTAAATTAAAATTTAAAATTGTCCTAAAAAGATCACAAATGAAGCAAAAAATAAATAAAATAAAAAAAGAGTTAGTATTAAGATCGAAATGAAGTAAATAAAAAATAAAAAAATAAGTAAATAAAATGAATAAAAGAAAATTCAAATTAAAGAATTAAAGTGGAAATAATTAAAAGTTAAGGATTGAATTGATGTTAATTGAAACTGCAAAGGAAAAATGAAAGTTAGGAGGACAATTTGCAAAATATAAGAAATATAAACGGGGACTAAATTAAATTAATTCAAAATTCGAGGGTAAAATTACAGTAGGTGACCAAAATGAACTACGCATCAAACCTTCAGGGACTGAGTAATAATTTAACTATTACGTAATTGCTCAATGGCCCTCCCTATAAATACTCTCCAAATCACAAAAAATAACATTTCACTCATTTCTTTAAAAAACAAACCCTCTCCCTTCTCTTTAAAATCTCTCTACACTTCCCCCAATCGGCCTACATCACTCCGGTGAAGCCCCGCAGCGCCGACCACTGCTTCAACCGCCACCACCGGTGGCCGAAAACCTAAGAACCTACCCAAAATGATCTCCACACCACTCTAACGCTAAAACTGAACCGCAAATCCCCTAAAAGGCCCCTAAACAGCGTAGATCTAAGGTGAAAGATTCAATTTTTTTTACCTATTTCCGTCGAAGCTCCTTTGTTCTTGATGACCGTTCTTCCCCCGGGCCTATTTCGATGCTGGCATTGTTTTTTGTTACGCTATTTTCGTATATTTTTGCTCGGTTGTTTCTGCCGAGTACTGTATATTGCGTGGTGATTTTTTGTTATTTTGGCGCTCTTTTCGGTGATTGTTTCTATGTGTTTTTTGTTGGTTCTCCCGACATTTTTTTGATGTTGTTTGCTGGGTTTTTTTTCGTGGCTACCATTATGTCCTTAACAGATTGGGTGGGGCGGTATTTATACCCCATCGCCGGTGATTGTTGTTTCAGCTCCCAACGGACTGTTTCCCTCGTTCCTATTATTTTCAAGCCGTTCGGTCATTCGTGTGACCGACCATCATGGGAAGGTTCAGTCCCGAGTCGTTTGACCAGGAATCTCAGCCGGTTGGTAACCACGTTGGTGCGTGGCATTCACGCGCTGCTCCTGATGCTTCTTGACCGTTGGATCAAAGGGCCAAATCCAACGACTCTCGATCTTGCGGCATTGGTGCTAAACACGAAACCCTAGCTTCTGTTGGGTTAGGCAGTTGGGCTCGGATCCCGAGTCAGATCAGGCCTGCTTCGGTTGGGCCTTACTGGGCTTGCTGGGTCAAGCACCCTGTTGGGCTCCTTTACCCCCTTACTGGACCTGATTTCACTTTGGACCTAAAAATGAAATAAAAAGTAAAAAATAAAATGAAATAAATAAATAAATAAATAAATAACCAATATTATATTTTCAAAAGAATATGTTTTCAAAAATCAATTTTTTAAATATATATTATACGTTTCCAAAAATATTTTTAAAAACTATATATTATACGTTTTCAAAAGTATTTTTAAAAAAATATATATTATACGTTTTCAAAAGTATTTTTAAAAAAATATATATTATACGTTTTCAAAAATATTTTTAAAAATTATATATTATACGTTTTTAAAGGTATTTTTTAAAAACTATATATTATACTTTTTCAATTTTTTTTAAAAACTATATATTATACGTTTTTAAAAATATATATATTTTTAAAAAAAACCATATATTATACGTTTTCAAAAATATTTTTTAAAAAACTATATATTATGATTTTTCAATTTTTTAAAAAACTATATATTATACATTTTCAAAACTATATTTTTTTTAAAACTATTTATTATACTTTTTAAAAAAAATATTTTAAAGACTATCTACTATACGTTTTTAAAAATTGATTTTTAAAAAACTATATATTATATGTTTTCAAAACAATTTTTTAAGAAAACTATATATTATATGTTTTAAAAAATACGACTTCAAAGCATATACTATATACTTTCAAAAATTATGTTTGAAATTATTATATATATATTATATACTATATAATAATAAAAAATAAAACCCTTAATGTCCCGAACAAAAATAAGTGTCTAGAGCTGCCCCTCTTTGCCCATTTATCGTGTAACGAAAAAAAGGGCAAAGATAGAAGGACACAAATTTTCGTTCGGTAAGAAGAAAGTCCAAAAATGAATTTGCTTCTATGAGTCTAATATATTTCTCTGTGATTGAAATCTGATTCAATGTATGTCGACTCTCTTATCAAATATCTTCCGTCGCGGAGTTGAAATTCGATTTAAAAATTCTAATGGCTTATTGCTGTAGAGCTGAATTACGGGTGGCTCACTCGTCATGAAGTTAAGTTTATCTTTGATGTTTTGAGCATTATATGATTCTCTATGAAGTTGAAATCTAGTTCGAAATTTGAACTGGAAATGACTTCTTATTGCCAAATCGTAGTCAACCTTGGTCTTCTTCTTGGCTTAAAGACTTCGGTTTGAAAATTCGACT